GTTCGTTTGTGATATTGGGAAGTGGGAATAGCAAAATCTTGGTTGTGCGGATTTCCATGGGGTTGACCTAAAAAAAAAAAAAAACAAAGTTAAAATGGGAAGACAATAAAAACAGCTAGCTGATGACAATATCACTTAAATTGCAATTACGTTTAAAACAACACTGATATCAGACTCATAAAAACCATTCTCTGCAATTTTTAAATAGGGAAAATATTTAGGAACAGGTCTTCAAAAGATGTCAATGTGTTTTATCACCAGATTCGATTGTCCATCCGTGGTTATGCGTTTTTTCAAGTATCTTACTGTCAGAATTTCTTCAGTTATTGTTATGTAGAGTTACTGTAGCTAGGTAAAGAAAACAAAAACAAACAAACGGACCAAACTACACCAAACCAAAACACTAAGAAAGCACTCCGCGGTACATGGCCAGTACCCTAGTGAAGTTCTAAGATAATGCGGCAGTTACTTACAGTTTAGCTTGTGTCGATCCTTGTCGCGTCTTAACGCCTTGCACAGGAATAAAAAATGAACTATCCCCAAAAGAATGCTCATTTTATGCTCATTATACATCACATTTTACTGCTGAAACGACGCCTAATCGGTTTTAAGTGATTAATTTGTTTAAGCGGAACTGAACGAATTAATCTCTCGTTTACGTGTCCTTTCCCAATCAGAACGATTTCGAACTTCCCTTGGAAGCTAGATAACCCAAGAGTGGAGAAATCAGATACACTTTCACCCGGCGCGATCAGCGCTTAGTTGCTCAAAAGGTTTATATTAACTCTATCCACTGGATAAATCTCTATCCAGAGGATAGTGCAACTGGTTTCCTTAATACGTATCCCCAGGATAGTGATTTATCCGGTGGAATTAAAGCTGGCAGCTGTCCGTGTTTTGAACCAGGTTTAATGGGTTTATACTGATTTGACAGGCCACTGTCAGCTTCGTAAACCCAAATGTTACTATAAAAACATTATTTAACCCCTTTTTTCTTGTTGACTAGACGGTCACTTTATAGCCTGTTTGCCTTTCGTTTGGCAAATTTTGCTATGAATCTACTTTGAATCATTTGAAATTCAACTTACAAGTTATGTTGAAACGACTTCAACAGTGCTGTAACTAAAAAAACTAATATATTGTTGCTCTTTTCGTTTCACGAAAATGTGGCTCCCCGCTTTAATGACGCATGGCCTTTCTTACCACGACTCCGAACCACTGCACGATTTTATGATTATTTGTATCTTCAAGAGTAACCTTTTGGCTTCGGCTCGTTCAACTTTTGTTCTTAATAAATATTTTGATTTTTTTTTTTCATGATTTAAGGTTCTGGAGCTTCTTTGTTAAATATTGTGAGCAAGGTCTAGCGTTAATGGCCATTACCTAAACAGAAGAACTTCGAAGACAGCCTAGCTAAGTGTAATCCTATTATCTGTTTGCAAACACGTACAAGTAACACAACGTCGGCGCAGACTCTTATAAACTCGTTCGGGTATTACATGATTGCAATGAAAAATTTAGGTTCTTAGTTATTCAAAACTGAAATAATTCCTAGAAAAATTGTAAAAAGGTCAAAAAGGAAGTAGTCACTATTTACACAAATCAGTCTTTTCGGGATCTGGTTTGGCATTATCCGTACTGAAACATATTTTCAGTTCCTCTTGACGTCGGGGACATATTGGAGAGTGTTTCAGTATCCACGGACAGACTATCTCGAGATCTTGAATAAGAACTTGCATTTTGATGGTCGCTATTTGACAGGAACATACAACAATCGTATTTGTATCCACCTAATAAGGCCACATCATCCGTTACCTTTCAGCATTCCGTGTATATACTACATGATTGACACTAAATGTAAATACTCATAGACGACGTACAACAAACTCCGTCAAAATAACCAGTGTACAACAGTTCATATACTGCGACTAATGGAGGGTTGGGGAGGGACAGTGTTGAAAGGGACGTGCAAAAGGAAAGGGCGGCTGTAGGGGGATATTTTAGGAAGAACTGAGGTGCCAAAAGCGGCTGGTTCTAACGCCCATACCTTCCCTCATATTCCCCTATCGAGACGAAAATAGCTGTTTCACATGAAAATTACAAGATGGGTTATAAAAGTCTGCAGCTCTGGACAAAAAGTTGTTTCAGGTTAAAGGTGCATTTACAAACCTGATTTCGAATAGCATGCCAGTTTGTTCTTGGCTGCTTGGAGATACTAACACTGAGTATCATGTTGACTAGCCTGAAACGGATTGTAAGAGTTGTCTCAAACTTATTAACAATTGATGAAGGCAAACACAGGAAATCACTACTGGATTTCAGATCATAATTACCTCATAAAAGTTCTGCAAACTTGCCTTTGAACTTCTTCAAGAATTATTGATCTTTTGCGAAAGGCTTTATCAAAGACTCCTCTCAGTGTTTTATATGATATTTAGACCCCTACAAGTCGGTGTAAAGAAGGAAAAAGAAAAGAGAAAAGAAAGAAAGAAAGAAAAAATGGATGTTAGATGTCAGAACACCTCTCCTCGTGTGTGACATATTACCTCCATACCTCCATATTACTTCTCGGTGGTTGGATATCGGATGAAACACCGTTTCTCATATTTGATATATTAAATCAAGGCTGAGAAATGTTGCATCTCCTGAGGAAAAGAAGAAAGAAAAAAAAAAAATGAAACTTAATATGTAATTAACTGAAAAAAAAGCGACGTGTTCTTAAATTGCCGGCCTTTGTGTAATTTTTGTCAGTGTGATCAATTCTTGGTTTTCAACCCCCGTGACAAGCTGGCCATGTTAATGGTCAATACAATTAAATGTTTTTTTTCGAAAACCACCGACATAGCGGCAGTAATGGATTAATGCCCGTAGGGCGAGTCAAAATAAAAGAGACACGTATATCCCACGATTCGTCTACTCATTAAGCCGTCCAAAAATAGATTTACTATTTAACTAGAGGATTATAAAATAGAACTAAGTTTAAATGTGCACGCTTGCTCACTTACAACGAGAATGCAAGACATACTTCTAACGTGAGTCGAGTTTTCGCGCACTTTCATGAACACTGTTGCTCATTGGTCAGAAATGAAAACTTGTCAAACTGGTTACTCAGTAAATCAGGTTTTCTTTTTAAAGTTTTTCGTCGTGGCCTAGGTTCTATCTTTCAAACTTTTTCTAGGAAAACAGAGATGGAATGACAATTAATAGTGAGGCTTATGATGGTCTTTCGGTTAGTAATACATAAAACGGATTGCAAGCAGGAACACTGAGCAGAGCGAATCGTAAACAAAGGACTTGAAAATTCATCTTGGCAGGTAACACTAGAAAAAAAGAGAACGTCTAAAGTCTACTATTTCACGTCGCGCGTCGAGTTTCTTCACAATTTAGAAGAACCAGAGGTGAAGACTGTTCATTTTCTCGGCAGGGATTGTATTTAATGTACGTTGTTTCTTTCACGGGCTTTCGCCAGCACCATCTCTATCACACAACTTAAGGTCTGTTTTCGTCTTCCCTGTTGTATCTTGACCTTGCAAAGTTTGCATGTTCGATTCATATATAATAAATGTCGACATTTAGTTCTTGATCAAGCAAATTTACTCTAGAAGCTCGGTTTTTAATATTTAAGTTTACAGTTTGGCTTCTTTCCGTTATTTTCTTCGGAAAACGATATATTTTCTGCCATGCAACGTTTGTAGATTAAAACTGGTCAAACCGGTCTTCTGGAGTACAAATACCGTGAGATATTTGTGCTCGTTTTTCGCGTTATTTTTACTTCTTTTAGTGAAGTTGAAGAATAAAACACAATAGGGCCGTTTAAACGAGGAAAAATAAGCCGCGTCTTAAATAGGACGTTTCCCAAATAAGACTCAGACTATCCCGTATACACGACAAATTTCGTTTAAAATTTAGCGAAGACGCGTCCTATCTAAGAACAGCCCCCTCGCGTCTTAACGTGCCGTTTATACGGGAAAGTTTGCGTCTTATTTAGGACGCGTCTACTGAAAGACGCGTCTTATTTTTCCTCGTATAAATGGCCCTAATATCTCTTCCAATAAAACAGCAGGCTTTCTGATTTGTCAACAAGTCACTACCGCCGATGTTGTTTATAAACGTTTACCACCTGCCGGACGTCAAGAAATTAGGCCTTCTGTGATTAATTGACATGCATACCTTTTCATCATATCTCTTACCTTATCGCTAGGCCAGACTCTGGACCCATTGTCGAACCGAAAACGCTTTATAGAAAACTACAGCTCCGTCCACTTTGGAAAGCCTGTGGCTAAAAGCTCTTAATAACAAAACAGTTAGGTAATTACTCAAAACGTTGAACAAAAAAATCATAGCACAAATACTTAGAAATTTTACAGAGAAAGTCCAAGCTGAGCTGACAAACAATGACTGCAAAGGTTTGCAATTTTTATGGCAACGTTTTGCAGCATTAATTTCCCAGGTTTACTACAACAGGAAGTTACTGCAACAGTCTCTAAATACTGGAGTTTTGCAGTAAAATTCCAACCCCATGACAGCAGACGATCACAGCAATTGCAGTTTCGTAGCAAAGTCCGGATTTGTCTCACTGCAAAGATCCTCAATATTCATTTGAGGATCAGATTTGCAGATTTGTCTCCATAGCAACTAGTCGCTTCAAAACGTTCAATTCTCACGTTTTGTAGTGACTGTCTTTAATGCTTTATGACAAAAAGGAATCACTGCAAACGGAGCCCAAATTATTCGAGAAGTTTTGCAGCGAAATTCTAATCGTATGCTGATAGACTATGGCAACAAATAAAGAATCCGTAAATGTAATACTTGTATCCAAAGTCTAATTTTAGGGTCACATGACAATCTCTTCAAAACGATCACAATTATCAGTTGTAACGTTTTGCAGCGAAAGTTCGTTTTTATGATTGATATCGAAGATGTTTGTGGGAGAGGAAGACAGAAAAAAGCTTAATCGGAAATGACTTTAAAAATGAATTGAAGCAGAAAGAGAGTGTTTGCGTAAACTTACGATTTAGATCCGTTAAAACGACGATAGGCGTACTAACACTTCCATCTCCTTTGACAGTAGACGCAAACACTGTGATGCTGTAGTTGGTGTTTGGATTGAGTCCTGTCAGTTTTGCTTCAGTTGTCGGAATATTCACTACCTTTGTCCGTGGACTGCCATCAGGAAGCGCTTGATAGGTAACTGTGTAACTCAGTATAATGCCATTTTGATCAGGAGGAGGAACACTTCCCCACTGCACCAAAATGTTAGTAGCGTTTAAAATGTATCCTTGAATCTTACTTGGAGGAGCGTTTGGTACTGTAAATTAAACAACGACAACAACAACAACAAAATTAAGGAGTAAATTTTGGGTGTGGTCCATTAGGCGTCACCTAAAGGGACGTTTTCCAAGACACCTACAGTCTCCCTTTAGGAAAATAGGGACCTTAAAGCCCTGTCCACGCTAATGCGTTTTCGTTCTAAGACGCATACATTTTGATGCTTTGAGGCCTTCCGATTTTTTCCGTCCTTCCGATTTTTTTATAGCAGGCTCGGTGTTCGCCAGACTGTGCGAGCTATCGTGGTTTTTAATACAAATCATTCTAAACAACTTATTCCTCTTTACTTACTGTCTTCATCTGTTCTTTGGACGATTGGGATGCTGGCTGGTCCTTTGCCTACTCTCGTAGCACCTAATACTTGTATACTGTATTCAGCATACTTAGCGAGATTTGTCAACTCAAATTGCTGCATGGGAGCATCAACGTTCCTTGTTTCCGGTGAATCTGCGCCTTGTGCCCTCTTCCAGATGACAGTGTAGTACCGTACTCTGCCATGCCGCTTGTCTTTAGGGACTTCATCCCACCTCACTAAAATTGAAGTTGAGCTTGTAAAGTTCGCTCTGACATTGGAAGGAGCGGCACCAGGAACTGCAAAAGTAAAGATAAACACATTGGCTAGTGAATGAGTAAGTTCATAAATTGTCCCTGCTTGCAAAAATCAAATGAATGAACGGATTTATTTTAAAAGAAAATGGGTTGTTGCCCCAGGGAGGGAAAGAGAAGAACAACAAGAGAACAAAAATTTTGGATAGCCGTTCGGGTTTTTTTGTTTTGTTTTTGTTTTTGTTATTTTTACCTAGTTCGGAGGTTTTGTTTTTCACATTTTATCACCAAGATATTGCGATCATTGCAAATTTCGGTGTACAGACAAAACGTCCCCTATAATGTTCTTCTGAAAGTACAGCTTCTCCATATCCTTTAAATTTCGACCGGACCTATCAAGGTTGCTGACATTTTCGGATGAGACAAAAAGCCACCCAAAACTTTTTTTCAAACTGTGGATGATGCTATACACTATAACTGTCTACCCAGTGGATGACGCAATTGGTTTTCAAATACTTCCCGTTGTCGAAGGGATCGTGCTCGCAAAAAAACAAAGCCGCGACGGTATTTGTTTTGCTATTCCAAATAAAGTTTCGAAATACTCACTGTTTTCATTTGTAGTAAGTATTATCAGGACGCTGTAAGGTCCATTTCCCTTGCCTGTAGTCACTAAAACACTGACGTTGTAAGACTCATCCTTTATCAGGCCTGTTAGATTCGCCTCTTTTCGAATAACTGTTAAGAGTTACTTGACCGCACTGACTGCTTGATACTTAACCGTATAGTTCTTATAATACCATTTTGGTCCTCAGAAGTCAAGATGACAACCGCACAGGTTGTCGAAAAGTCAGTTACTGTCAACAACAAGAGTCCTAATCGGGACTACGTTCACCCGGACGATCATACTCTAACACCTTATGAAATGACACCTGGGTTCAAAACTTTCACAGCGTGAAAATACTTACGGTCTTCATTTGTAGTAAATTTTGCCGGATCGCTGTAAGGTCCATCCCCTTTCTCAGTAGTCGCTAAAACACTGACGTTGTAAGACTCATCCTTTATCAGGCCTGTTAGATTCACCTCTTTTGTAAAAACCGTCGTCATGTCAAAGGGTCCCAGCACACCGACTGCCCGATACCTGACAGTATAGCTCCTTATGATGCCATTTTGGTCCTCAGAAGGAACATCATTCCATTTTACAAAGATACTGGTAGAAGTTGTGCTGTTTTCTGATACATCTTGAGGAGGAGCATGGGGTCCTAAGGATATTAAAAAATTGATAAGTGCATGTACAACTCACTATTTATATTTTGCTCTTTTTATATAGCACGTATTTTATGTAACTGTTGTTGTTTAACTCAAACAGCTGTATTGTAGTTGAAGGTTAAGGTATGTTGTATCGTAATTCAATAGTATCACTTTAAATTTATCTTTAACTAGATGTAATGATGCGAGTTTACGTATGAAAAGGTGGTGTAAATTAATAAATAAAGAAAGAAAGAATGAATTGCTTAGAAAATAAATAAAACCATTGCCAAGTATAAATATTGATGAGACAATTCTAAGGCTAAGAAGATAAAAGTTAAAAGTAAAGTAAGAGTGGAACGCTAATCTGCTTGTTCTTGGGCCAAATCAAAATATATTTTTCCTTTTGTCCGCTCTTTTCATATTGAAAAATGTGGTTGCCATGGTGCAAAGAAAGGTAAGTCTTACAGCTCACCATTCGGACAAACTGTAGTCAGCATTTACCAGGTGCACTATGTACGTATGTTGTATGCTGTTCAAGAATTATAAAACTATTTCGTATTTACTGCGCATTTCTATTTCTAACCAGGTGAATGATTAAGAAGTAAAATTTAACAGCGGTTGCGATAAAATGTCCTCAGATAAAATGTCAGTGCTAGCTGGCACTTACCAGCCGCCGTTTGAATACATCACTCTATTATATGCCGCGCAACAAGTCAAGAAAACGTAGTTTACTTACTATCTTGATCCGTTCTAACAACAAGAACAGAAGGCGGTCCATCTCCTTTAACTGTAAATGCAGCCACTGAAATATTGTAATCAACAAACTCCTTTAGCCCTGTTAGGTTGGCCTGACGATCGTTAGGACCAGCTGGTACAATGCCATTGTCATTCTCTGTCAGTGACTTGTACAATATAGTGTAACCAGTTATGATACCATTCCGTAGCTCAGCTTGCACTTCGTCCCACGATACTGAAATGCTGGTTGAACTGGTGTTATGTCCTCTCAGATTCTGTGGTGCGCCAGCAGGCTCTGAAAAACAAGTTCAAAGTAAGAGAAAACAGTGTCTTGTTTGTTTAAAAAAAAAAAATGTTTCCCACTTCGTAATGATTGCGAAAAAGACTTTAGTATTGGGGTGATGTGACAAAACTTAGGCGCGCAGTAAATAAGCCTGGCACTTGCGGTTTCCAAATTTCGAAAATAGTGAACGCTGTAAAGCAGGCTATTTACAGCAGTCTAATCGACTTGTGATGAAGGCTTGACCCAGCCTGGAACTTCCTGATATGACGAATGTTATAGAGATGGATAGTAGAATGCGCTACCGCAAGTTTTGGATATAAGAGCAGACACAACCATCTGGGAGTCGAACCAAGCACCCAGATTCCTTGCGGACGAGATAGGAGCCAAATCAGCTTAACCAACCTCGATGCCGTTTATAGACACCTTAGCCAGCTGTTGTCGACTGCTAACCAATAGAAACTCCGTCCTCTCATCATTTAACCACAGCATACCACCTCTCATCCAAGCACACATCAAGAATGCAGTTCTCCAGCGCAGTCACGACTTCGAGTTTGTTCAAACTGTCAGATAGTATGAATGACACATACAGCTGAATGTCATCGACATAGGCATGCACAGAAGGGAGGTGCAAACGCAGGATCTCAAACAGCTTGCTAGTATAGATCGTAAAAAATAGCGGGCCTAAGCAAATCTGTTTAAGACACTGCCGTTAACAAAAATACGCTGCACTCTTCCCTCTAGGTAAGATTAAAGCCAGAAGAGCGCATGACCTCGTAAGTCGAACAGTGAATGCAACCTTTGAACCGAATTTAAAATGGCGCTCAGATCAAATAATGCAAATTACTATATATACATTGTACTCATTATCTGTCTTGTCATTGGCTAAGAGCCTACCGCTAATTTTGGAAATCAGCGCAACTTACAGGGCCGAGTTGTTCAAAGCTGGGTTAAGATTACCCAGGGTTAGTGCAAGATTTGAATTCAGATATGAAAGCTTAAAAAGCATTTCAATTTTAATTCTTTTTGTCTACAAGTTGGAAGCTCTACAAATAACTGAGAAAATCACCGGAGAAAATGGTTTTGAACACAAGAAAAGGAAACCCGGGTTAAATTTAACCCCGTGCTATGAGCTAATCGGCCTTCGAACAGCTGGACCCAGATTAGTCAGTTATCTGCTAGCAGATAATTGACTAATCTGTATTTTGCGTGCTCAATGCATGATTTCCAATAACTTTTATATCAATTCAAGTTCCTTGCGAAGGGTTTTTTTTTTTGGTCAAATCAATGTATAATAAAACAATTTGTCACAACAATGTATACTAAAAAAAATATTAGATTCAGTTTTTATGAAACCTACGTTTTCGGATGGGACAAAAAGCCACACGCCAAAACTTCGTTCAAACGATCTATGATGCTATACTAACATTATAACTGTCTATCCAGTGGATGACGCAATTGGTTTTCAAATACTTCCCGTTGTCGAAGGGATCGTGCTCGCAAAAAACAAAGCCGCTACGGTATTTATTTTGCTATTCCTAATAAACGTTTAGAAATACTCACTGTTTTCATTTGTAGTAAGTATTATCGGGACGCTGTAAGGTCCATTTCCCTTGTCTGTAGTCGCTAAAACACTGACGTTGTAAGACTCATCCTTTATCAGGCCTGTTAGATTCGCCCCTTTCGTAAAAACCTTCGTAGTATTAAAGGGTCCCAGCGCACCGACTACCCGATATCTGACAGTATAGTTCCTGATAATGCCATTTTGGTCCTCAGAAGGAACATCATCCCATTTTACAAAGATACTGGTGGAAGTTGTGCTGTTTGCTCGTATATTTTGAGGGGGAGCATGAGGTCCTAAGGATAAAAAAAAAGATAAGTGCATGTACAACTCAGTATTTATATTTTGCTCCTTTTACTGCTCGTCTTTTATGTAACTGTTGTTGTTTAAATCAAACTGTATCGTAGTTCAAGGTTAAGGTGTCTTGTATCGTAATTCAATGGTATAACTATAAATTTATCTTAAACTAAAGAAGTAAATGTTGTGATGTAATTTTACCTATATTTAAAAGGTTGGTGTTGATAAATAAATAAAGAACAAATAAAACCATTACCAAGTATAAATATTGATTAGACAACTCAAAGGCTAAGAAGATAAAAGTTAAATTCGAAACGTTCAATGCCGGGAAAGTAACGTTAGAATGGAACGCTAATCTGCTTGTCATTGGGCTAAATTAGAACATATTTTCATATCAAAAAATGTGGTGGTCATGTTGCAAAGAAAGTAAGTCTTACAGCTTACCATTCGGACAAGCTTTAGTCAGCATTTACCAGGTGTTATAAGGTGTACCATCTACGCTGGGTTGTTATGTTGTTCAAAAATTATAAAACTATTTCGTATTCGCTATCCATTTCTTTGTTTAACCAGGTGAATGATTAAGCAGTAAATTTTAATGACGATTGCATAAAAACGTCCTAAGGCAAAATGTCAGTGCTGAAACTTATCCGTGCCGCCGTTCGAATACATATGCCGGCAGACACACCAGGAAAACATAGGTTTACTTACTATCTTGATCTGTTCTGACAACAAGAACAAAGGGCGGTCCATCTCCTTTCACTGTAAATGCAACCACTGAAATATTGTAGTCAACAAACTCCTTCAGCCCTGTTAGGTTAGCCTGACGATCATCAGGACCAGTTAGTACAAATCCATTGTCATTCTCTGTCAGTGACTGGTACGTTATATTGTAACCAGTAATGATACCATTCTGAAGATCAGCTTGCACTGGTTCCCATGATACTGAAATGCTGGTTGAACTGGTGTTATGTTCTCTCACATTCTGTGGTGCTCCAGCAGGCTCTGAAAAACAAGTTCAAAGTAAGAGGGAACCATGTTTTCCGTTTCAGAATAAATTTTTTTCCCATTTCGTAAGGAATAAAAATACTTTTTTAGGTGTGGATTTACATTTTAGTCCCTAGAGATTCCAAGTGAGTACATAACAACCGACTGGGTAATACCAGAATTGTACTTACGGTCTTCATCTGTAATGACAATAATAGGCTCACTCTTGTTTCCACCCCCCTTGGCAGTAGATGCAAACACCGTGATGCTGTAGTTGGTAAATTTTTTCAATCCTGTCAATGTAGCATTTGTTTTTGGAGCAATCACTATCTCCTTTCCTGAATCACCAGCAGGTAACTCTGCGTAGATGACTGTGTAATTCACTACAATACCATTCTGATTGTCTGCTGGAACTTCATCCCACTGTACAAAAATGCTTGTAGAGGTTACATTGTTTCCTTTGACTTTAGTTGGGGGAGCATTTGGTACTGCAATAACATTATAGTCTTACAAAAACCATTGCACATACATTGAAACAGGAGCCCATAACCTGTAGTGAGCAACTTCCATGTACTCGTGTCACGGCGTTTTCACCGACAAGTTTATTTTTAGAAAGGTTTTGGCGAGAATTTAGAATATCAAAGTCCCACAAACCAGTCAGCAAAACCTACAGGCCTAAAAATGATAACTTTTGCCTTTTAATGACGTTACGTTTTTTGAGGTCTTATACTTCCAATGCGTTCATAGACGAGGCGGAGATCCCATTTTCGCGGGAAAAAGTGCCCCAAAACGGTCTAAAAACGCCGTGAAATAGGGCTAGTATGGGAGTTTCTAGCTCTGGATAATGCGTTCCTGATTAAAATCAAAACTAAAAATAACTTTCTACGTTCGGTTTTTACGTGAGTACAGTTTAAGCTCCCGTAAGTGAAGGATAAAGCGCAAATGAGCCTTTTTTGTCGGATCATGGGTGGTCATTATCAAGCATAGAGTTATTCGTCTACGGAAGAGTCTAATAAAAGAAAACAATATGAGAGCCGAAAATAGCAAGTAGTCCTCCGACAAAAATATGTCCCACTAAAATTAAGTCTCCCGTTGGACGTAATACCCACCTGCGGTAGGAGATTGATAGAGGACATTATGACTGGGCAGATCAAATACTACAAGTAGACACCACCATTTTGGAGTTGAAGATACTCTCATCGCTTAAAGATGTCTAAAAGTCAAGGATATATAATATGTTGATTCTTTTCTAGTTTTGTCCCACTAAAATGGTGCTACTTGGTCGGGTCGGACATATGTACCAGTTTACACTGTTCCAGACCGAACAAAATTTGTCAAAGATAGTTATCAATTACCAAGAGAGAATGATCATTCTCTCTTGCAATTACCGGAGTAACGTAACCAGTCATGATCAGTGGTATTATCCCTTTTTACATTACACTCTTTACATTTTTCTACTCGGACACATATGTACATGTACTGCAATCCAAGACCTTTTAAAGAATTGTATAAGTGCTGAAAATTAAGTGGCCATAACATGCAACGTGACTAATTTTGAATTTTGCCTGGACCTTAGAAGCAGCTGAGCAATGTTACTTAACGATTTTTTTACCTTCTTCATCCGTGGTTGTGGTGATTACCGAGCTTACAGCACTGACACCAACTTTGTTAGTAGCAAACATCCGTATGTAATATGTCCTTCCAGGATGTAGGTCTACAAGAGAAGCACTTGTGAAGGTGCTTGATACCACACAACCACTACTTGACAATCCTTGACATCTAGCCTCTGTAAATGTTTGATTATCTGTACTGATCTCTACAGTGTAGTTAAGAATATCACTGTTGCCATTGAAACCAGGTGTCCAGGACATATTCACAACTCGTGAGGTCTTAGTGATAACTGTCACATTCTCTGGTGGGCGTGGGAAAGCTACATAAAGCAAAATAAAACTAAATGCATAAAAGAATAAAAAGATTGAGTTTTAGAAAATGACATTAAAAGCTTAGAAGCTGGCTTTACAGGAGTAATACCATTAGCGGTAAACCATCTATTCACATTGTGGCAAGGGAGGTTAAGAATCCCACATTTCTGGGAGCAAACCAGTTGGCTATTTACAAGAGTGACTGTATTAGGATTTGAACTCAGGACAAACAAGGACAAATACTGCAAGCGGTTAGGGAGTGGATTAAACTCGGGGCCTTTGGATTACAATTCCAGAACTCTAACCGCTCGGCTACACTGTCTCCTATAGACTCCTGGAATTCACAGCTGTATCGGCTGGAACATTTTGAACTAGTGGCAAGGCAGATATTAATACAAGTTTCTGCAACAGTTACTGCATGCTTGAACAGACACCATATCAGTAGGAATATAGGTAAATATCATGGAATGAACTTTTGTATGCAGAACAACTCGTCGGGGATCTTTATTTGTCCAAGTCATAGTAGAATGAAGTCTGAAAAAAACCGTTTAGACCTCTGTTTAATCATGGTGGTGCCCAAATAGAGTTTTTGGGATCGCTAGATTGGCTTCAAGTTGCAATAGGCCCGTGGGAAAGATTGGACATGCAAAGGCAGGGTTCCTTCATGATTAATTTTCTCTGTTTTCTTGAAAAGCAACCAAAAAGAACAATGCAAAACGTCACACCAAACAGCAATATTTGTAAAACGAGCAACAGACTGCCAAAAGACCTGAGGATCGACATATAACGTACAACAAAGGCGCGACCTAACGCTCAATAAAAGTACGCTATTTTTATAGAGTATGTGCTTTGCTATGTACTTCCTACCTTCTAACTTACAGCTGTAGCATAGACGAGCCAATATTTGTTTAAATTTGCTAAGAAAACCATTATTATTATTATTATTATTAGCTTTTCACCATCCTCTGAAGTTACCGAAATTCACAAGAATTGAGGCTGTCAGACTTTTGATATGGAAAGTTATTATTTTGTTTCAACTCGGTGAAACCAAGAGAAATGAGCTTGGTGAAACTCATATTCGGCTGCATTCGGCCTTCATCACCCCTGCTTGAGCTGCTGAATGAAGCTGAAATATAGGTTCAAGGAGATAAAAAAAAAAAAAAAAAAAGATCCTTT